CGGTCAGCACATCACCGGCTGCCTTTAGGTCCTAGGACTTCACCTGATACCCGTTTAAGTCTGGGTCGACCTGGGAAACAAGGAAATTTCTTATGGGGAAAAAAGAACAGCTCTGTCAGCAACTGAACCACGACCGTAGGATCCGCAGGTGAGGGTCCTGTGGCTACACCACGGCGGCCCATTGATTAGGGCCTACACGCTGTCAAAATATAACAGCCTCACGGTCTAATCTCCTAGGAGATACAAAGAATGGGTTTAATGTTAAAAACAACCTCTACTACAGAAGGAAGATGACTGCAAGCAGAACACTAATTAAACATTAAATACACTGGACCGTGTTGCGAGGAGAGGACAAACCAGGCAGAGAATGAGAACGAAGGAAGAAATGATCGCAGAAAGGATGGGAGCTGAGCGTCTGAGGAGATGCACACATGATGGCAATAACGGTGATAAAATCCCAAGCTCTAAGTGTGGAAGATCTTTCTTAATGTGCACGGATTTTGCTAGTCTCACTCGCCATCACCATGGGCTGTGAGTCGCATCATTCCTTATACCATAATAGTATCGTCTAGAAAGACAGAAAGGTGCCAACAACAAAAGATTAGGTGTTAAAGATGAGAGAATCGACATTATTGCATCGGTTTTTATCCAGTTTGGTTCTGTCTCTCTCCACACAACGGCATCCGCCTGCAAGCACCAACCCCCGTAAACTGCGGTGACGATTCCGGGGATTATTCTACAGAAGAAGAGGCTGTGAAACGAACCAACGACCTTTACTTGGCAAAGCATAAGTCTTGACCACTTAACAGAGATCCGTCATAGAACAATAAAACCAGATAACCGAGCCCTGTTACAATTCTAAGTTATCTAAGCTGTGTTGTCACGTGCCGCGTTCTTCAGTCTTCTTTCGCAACATTACAGTTCAGGTAGGTTACAATGTTAGAACGGATTTTACAGTTCGTGTGTGTTTCTTTTCTGCCTAGCTTCATTCTCAAATTAGTTCCTCGCTAAGGCTATTTAACAAGCAATAATAAAATAATAAAAATAATATTAGTACATTACATCCAGGCATAATGGGTTAGCCATTAAGCAGCTAGATCTAGCCGACGCTCGACACAGGGGAAAGGCGAGACGGATGTATAATCAGACAGTTACTGGTACCATCGAAATTTTAACTCTTCGCTTGCTGCTGAAGGGGTGTCACATATCACTCCTATCGCGTGCCTAATGTAAGGATTTCTCCTTCAGAACCAACAGCACTCAGAAATAATTATGTTGAGTCGTTTGGCTCGTATTGGTCTAAGGGATTCCCCGTGGCCAATATACGCTCAACTTATTTCTGGAGTAGGGCAACTCAAGTATTGACACTACAAAATATCTCAGTATATGAATACAATATTCCTAGGCACACTTTGCTGGACACCCCCACTACTTACTAAAGAAAGCCCCCAGGTTATGATAGTTCATTATCATAACCATGTTAACACATATAATGAAGATCCATACACACACAACTGCTAAACACTTAAAAAGGGGAAATAGAGACACCTAAGTCAGCCATGAAAATGAATGCATGTAATCATTATAACATTTACATATAATAGTGAACCAGATGCCAGATCTCCGTGGATAGATCTCAGGATATAGTGTCCAAATCACAAAGATACTACACAGACAGAAGGTCCTGGAGATGACACCTTATCATCCTTGGGAAACATAGGAGCTGTGAAGAATAAAGCACATAAGGCATCAAACTTAGCTTCTCCTCTTTCCGTCTATGATGCTTCCCTCAGCTCCTGATGATTCGACTGTCTTTGACTCTGGTAATTCTGCTCAACTGGATCAGGTAGTGAAAGAGTACCTCACCATAGAGGACACAGCAACTGTACCGGTACTCAGCAAGTCTCTCCCACCAGTCAGGTCACAACACTGTCTTTGAGCTACACCAAGCTCTAGCACTGGTAGGCTGTTTGGGATATATGCCCCCCACATAGTGATGATGTCAGGAACCTTCACAGGTGTTAGTTGGTGGGTAGTTGGTTGATAGTTGGTTTATGGTTGGTGGATGTTGGTTGGACTGTGAAACTTCTGCCAGCTCCTCACAAAGGATTCATCCTGCCAAGAAATAACTCAGAATTAGTCATCACCAAGAGGGTAACATCTTCACAGGAAAGACAGAACAAACATCAGTCATCAGCCCCCATCTGCCTACTCCACCTTTGCTCCCCTGTTTCATTCCTCAGAATGCCTCTCCAGACCAGGAGACACAAGTCACCTATCATTCATCTGTCTGTTTAGTGCAAGAGAAGGAAAGTCAGATATACAGTGGAGATAGATAGAGTGTTCTAACACATATATCACTCTCTCTCTCCCCCCCCCCTTTCTGCACACAGACACCAATATTTACTGTCAGTACCTTTATTCCTTACGACTCCCGAGAAAGCCACTACCTACCTTTTTTTAATACTTTCTCAGACTCTTCTATTTCGGGAGGGGAGGGGGGGGGGGTGTCACTTATCTTCCCTCCAATTACATCAGCGCCGATGTCGCGTGTTCTGTACTTCACGACGACACACCTTTCAACGACCCGAGAACACGTAGGACTGGCCCTAACCCAACCTCTCCCTCCCCCTTTTTACACATAGTCCCAGCCTAGTCACACGAGAGACTTCGCGAAAACAACAGTAAAACGTGACACCCCTCTGACCTAGATCAGACTGAGAAAGTGTGTAGATGTGCCGGGAAACGTGAACAGGTCCCATTCTCTATAACCCGCCTAGGGTCCACTCTTTGATTAAGATGTATTTTTGTTTGCTAACACACTAACACCGCCTTAAAACATTCCGTAATCAGCCTTCATCTTTGCCCTAGTGTTACCGCGGCCCATAATAAGGACTGGTAATTTCAACATATGGTAATTTATATATATATATATATATATATATATATATATATATATATATATATATATATATATATATATATATATATGTGTGTGTGTGTGTGTGTGTATTACCATGCATACGAGGGATGAGGTCAGTTGAAATGATTGGCTCATTCTTGGAAGACTTTTGGTGCACAAGTCTATAAATCTTGATAACAAAGAGCTTGTCGTTAGGATTTTTGCCCAGCAGGAGATAGACAGAAGAAGAAGAAGAAGAAGAAGAAGAAGAAGAAGAAGAAGAAGAAGAAGAAGAAGAAGAAGAAGAAGAAGAAGAAGAAGAAGAAGAAGAAGAAGAAGAAAAAGAAGAAGAAGAAGAATGAACGAACAAACAAACTTTATTTTCAAACGGTTACAAATTGGGCACGCAGGCCCGTCTGACATTCGGCCCTTCTAAGCACTCATTTTTCAGAGTACCAAGGCCTGTTATTAATAATGTATGTTATGGATATAATAAAGAAACATAAATTATATAATAAATAATAAATTAACAGTATGTGTACACAATCGTACACACTCACACACACGTATACATACTCCTACGTTTTCATACATGAACACTAATATACAAACATACGTAATACATACACACATGCATCTACATACATACACAAACATAAAGAAGAAGACGAAGAAGAAGAAGAAGAAGAAGAAGAAGAAGAAGAAGAAGAAGAAGAAGAAGAAGAAGAAGAAGAAGAAGAAGAAGAAGAAGAAGAAGAAGAAGAAGAAGAAGAAGAAGAAGAAGAAGAAAAAGAAGAAGAAGAAAAAGAAGAAAAAGAAAGATCATGATGACGATGATGAAATAAAGGTAGATGATGAAATGAAGGCTGAGAAAAAAAGAAAAAGAGCTTAAACAAATAAGGAGCAAAAAAAAAAAAAAAAAAAGTAAGATGTAGGATATCATTTGGACTTGATTTGCTGTGTCTTAAATAAAAGAAACATCATGGCATTTTAAACCAAATAAGTTGTCACCAAGTAAACTATTGCTGGAAAATAAATTCATCCTTATCAACAACAACAAAACAACAACACTATCATCAATAACAGAAACAAAAACAACATCTTCATTAACAGTAGAAGTATTAGCAGAAACAGTAACAGCACTAGTACTTAGCCCACAGTTGTTAAAGTATTCTCGAAACCTCTTTGAGGTGATGTATTCCAAATGTAGCATCATCTGAAGCTGACAGACAACTAACTGCCACTGTATCAATATAAAGTGTGCGGTAATCTTCAGGTCGCATCTTCAGAACGGTTAACAATTACTGTTGAAGGGAATTCAAAGCATCCCTATCAATAGTTGTTATGACACATCTTTGTCTGTTAGGCATTGAGTTTAGTGGGAATTTGTTAGTAGAATAATTTTATTAACAGAATTCAATGCAAATGAAGACTTGTAATGTTCTTATTCTTGATCCATTTTTCTTTTCTTTTATTTCATTTGCTCTTATTGTTCTTGGTCTTCCTGTATTTGTTCTTGTTATTGTTCTTCTTTGCTTCGTTTTTTTTTTCATTTTTCTTCTTTTTCTTCTTCTTCTTCGTTTTCTTCATCTTCTTCTTCTTCTTCTTCTTCTTCTTCTTCTTTTTCTTCTTCTTCTTCTTCTTCTTCTTCTTCTCTTCTTCTTCTTCTTCTTCTTCTTCTTCTTCTTCTTCTTCTTCTTCCTAATCTTCTTCTTCTTCTTCCTGATCTTCTTCTTCTTCTTCTTCTTCCTAATCTTCTTCTTCTTCTTCCTGATCTTCTTCTTCTTCTTCTTCTTCTTCTTCTTCTTCTTCTTCTTCTTCTTCTTCTTCTTCTTCTTCTTCTTCTTCTTCTTCTTCTTCTTCTTCTTCTTCTTCTTCTTCCTCCTCCTCCTCCTCCTCCTCCTTCTTCTTTTCTTTTTATTTTTTTTCTTCTTCTTCTTCTTCTTCTTCTTCATCTTCTTCTTCTTCTTCTTCTTCTTCTTCTTCTTCTTCTTCTTCTTTTTCTTCCTCCTCCTCCTCTACCTCCGACCAAAAAACTAACCAACCACCTAACAAACCTACCTCTTTTATCTTTGAAATCATGTTTCAGACTCCGATCATGGACGCCTCAGAGTTCAGATCTCGCGGTAAAGAGATGGTGGATTACATCGCAGACTACCTAGAAACAATCAGCTTGCGACATCCACTCCCCACGGTCAAACCAGGCTACCTACGCGCCATGATCCCAGACCAGGCCCCGGTCACCGGGGAAGCTTGGGAGCAAGTCAAGAAGGATATAGAGAGGGTTATAATGCCAGGAGTACGTTTGTCTTCCTTGTGTTGGCTCTGTTTCTTACGCCTTTATTTTAAATGTTGAGTGTAACATTACAGGTAGTACTCACTTCGTTTCCTCTTTTACCGCTACCGGAGTCGAGGGAGACACAACGTTCTGCTTCTCGCTCTTCTGTTCTACTCTGCCAAAGACACATCGTTCTGTTGTAGTGTTACTCTGATGTTATCTTTTAATAGTGTTCCTGGTCTAGCTTGTTCTATTTGTCAATCTCTTCTTGTGCTTTATATCGCATTTAATCTCTAAGATTGAACGGCATTATTCTTAAGTGTGCAAACTATTTGATTTTCTGTCTTTGTAAGAAATTTAGACTTGGTTTTATGTCGACTCTTTCATTTATGAGGAAGCTGCGTGGTCTCGAGGTATCGTGTCCGCCTCTAGTGCTAGAGGTTCTGGGTTCAATCCCCGGTAAGGGCTGGGATTTTTTCACGTGGACTTGGACTTCTAGTAATTCCCCCTGGTCTCTGGATAGTGAGATCAGACGCATGTGTGCATTGCTGCGCACGTAAAAAAATTCCTTGGCAGTTGGAAATCGGAAAGGATGACCTTTTTGCCCGGGCACAATCTTGAGTTCAAAATCTACCCAAAGTATTTCAGGATCCTCACCGGTGCTACAGAGCCTGTGCACTTTGCTGAGCTTCTTCGAACTCAGACTTGAGTTAAAAGAACTGAGCACTTATGGGTTACTACCCATGTGCCATGATGTTGATCCGTTGTTTAAACCTCAAACCTCACTTGTGACCTCATTTCTGGTTTCAACTCTCCTGCGACCAATCTCTGATGTCTTATTTCCGTGGTTACTTTTGGCTTGTTTTGTGTTAGGGGACCATGTTTGGCACTGGTAGCATAGGATTGGAACGAATACGCTTTGTGTGAGATGTTTCTTTGTGGTGACTAGGATTGTCTTGTGTTGTAAAAAATGGAACCAGCTGTCCCACTACTTTGTTTGCTTTTACTGCATCAGATATTGATTTGTTTATATAAACCTACAAATTGGCCGGCTGGAAAAATCAGTCTTTGGCGCGAACAGACCATAATTACTTACTGTATTTTTCATGTAAGAGAAACTCAGGACTATTTGAGTAGTTTAAAAACAAAGTAATCTTTCAAAAAATTATGGTATGTTCGTGGATAATATCTGTAATGTGACACTGAATACAAAAATCGCATTTTTCTAAGCCGGGAAAAGTCTCGAGATGTGAACCAGCGTCATTGCACACGGTTATAAACCATAAGTGCTTTGCCACCAGTACGGACAGCTGATAAGAAATTGTCCGCCTGTGTCGCCGTCCGCAGGTAACTCCGTAGCCACATCAAAGTTCTTCCATTTACCCCAGAGTGTCAACTCTGGTACCCATTTCCTAGAGGCTGGGTGAACCCCGGGAACCGCCTGATTTCGAACACCGACCGTGAGCTGAAGCGAAGGGTTTGAAAGCGAGACTCCTATCGACTGCGCTAACGCGGCATTTTTCTTTGCTTTCTAAGCCATAGATTACTAAAATGAGAAATGTCTGGTCCAGAAATAAGTTAAATGAATGTCTGGTTCAGAAATGGGTGACCGGGACCTTCCGCCGGAATTCACAGCCGGTGAATGAAGAAGAAGAAGAAGAAGAAGAAGAAGAAATGGGTGAAATTAATATTTTTCAAAGGAGAGATTGCTAAAGCGAAAAAAGGTGTCAAGAAATGAGTAAAATAATAATATCTGGCTCAGAAATGGGTGAAATTTTTACTTTTAAATGCACATATTGCTAATACTGGTAATTTCTGGTATTGAAATGAGTGAAATCGATATTGCAAGCGCATAAATTAGAAAAACGGGCAAATTCTGACCAAGAAAGTAAAGGAATAAAAAATGTCTGGCCTAGAATTTTGTGAAATGGACATTTGAGTAATTTCTTATGCAGAATATGGTGAAATGGACATTTGAGTAATTTCTGATCTAAAATTTTGTGGAATGGACATTTGAGTAATTGCTGATCTAGAATTTGGTGAAATTGACATTTGAGTTATTTCTGATCTACAATTTGGTAAAATGTCCATTTGGGTAATTTCTGATCTAGAATTTAGTGAAATGGACATTTGAGTAATTTCTGATCTACAATTTGGTAAAATGGACATTTGAGTAATTTCTGATCTAGAATTTAGTGAAATGGACATTTGAGTAATTTCTGATCTAGAATTTGGTGAAATTGACATTTAAGTAATTTCTACTCTAGAATTTGGTGAAATGGACATTTGAGTAATTTCTGATCTAGAATTTAGTGAAATAGACATTTGAGTAATTTCTGATCTAGAATTTTGTGAAATGGACATTTGAGTAATTTCTGCTCTATAATTAGTTCATATTATAAATCTGGTTAACAGGATCTACGACACAGCATTTAGGACAAGCCCATACCAGCCCCGTCTCCCTCCTCAGCAGCCAGCGAAGATTCTCCATAAGAATGGCACCAGTTATCAAATCTAGAACTTGTGACGTGATTAAAACGAGGCTCAGAAAGTTGTACATTTCCATCTGCCTCAAATCCACATTGCTAAATAACAAACTATTTAGTAAATAACAAATGTTAGTTTTTAAAAATGGGCTAGACGTATATTTTATAGACCAATCGGTACTATGCGGGTGATGTGGTCAGCATTACGCCAGCCGCCTTTGCTTCCTAGGAGTAACAAAGAACCGATGTGGTCCACCGGCTAGACGCTCGCCTGCAGATCTGAAGGTCGTGGGTTCGGGTCCTGTCAAGGGCCGGACTTTTTCTTTTCAAAAATGACCTTAGCTCCCAAGTCGACCCAGCATTGAGTGAGTACCAGGACAGGAACAGCCCTGGGAAGTGAAGGCGGTTGGCGTGATGCTAGCCCTATATACCCAATAGCCCTGAATGTTTGGAAAATTCTCCTTTACTTACCTCGACTATTATTGAAACAGGTGACACACTGGCATAGCCCACACTTCCATGCCTACTTTCCGGCAGGCAACTCTTATCCTGCACTTCTTGGCGACATGCTGTCTGACGCAATCGGATGTATTGGATTCACATGGGTGAGTTATTTACCTTGTGCTGTCAATCTGTCAGTTGAGAACTTACTGGCAGCTTTAGGAAGCTAAAAGGAGGTTGACCACACCAATACAAAATTTAAAGAGAATTAAAAGCCAATGGATAAACACCAACAAGCAAATCGCTTGGTGTAACAAGGCCTTGCAGATGATAACATAAAGTCTAGTTTGAGAATTGAGGTAGAGGCAGTCTTGAGAATCAGTTGAACACACAGGCCGTGATTGTAAATGACACACAGAGCATGTTGAGAAAGGTAGAGACAGGCATGCTGTGCTTTAGAGGTCCAGTACGGTAAGCATTTTCTTCAGGTTATTCCGGTGTGTTGGGAAAGAAGCAGGGACAAAGACTGGCCGGTTCTGCACCACTTGGTAATGAACTGATGTATAACAAGCTAGATGTTATGGGAGCTCTTTGGGAACGAGTGAACAGTGAGTAGGCTCAGATAAATCACTACGGTCTGAGAAGAATACCGCTGCGAGGAGTCACCAGTGGATCAGGCCGACGCTCAACACCCAAGGGAAAGGTGATACGGATGTACAATCAGACAGTTACTGGTGCCATGGGAATTGGAACTATTCGCTTGCTGCTGAAAATGGTGCGGAGCGCTTATTGAATTGCCCCGAGTGCTATGATGTCGATCCTTAATTCAACATTTAACATAGCAAATCAAAGTCAAAATTGTTTGAGCACGCATCTTTCCTGTAGAATGACACGGACGTTGAGTACTGAACTGTCTCGCTTAAGGAAGAACTTTAAGGCTTTTGAGCTGAAATCCCATACAGCGAGTCTAAGAATACACTGGACCAAGGAAAAAAAACACGTATTCTAGAAGATCTGAACATCCAGTAAAACTGCATCTAATTTTTACCTTCTCGCAATGCGACCAAAATGATGTCTGTGTCTCTCTAATGATGTCATAAGATGTCCTCGTGTCATATCTTCTTCAGAAACAGTTTAAAAGATAATTTTGTCTCTCCACCCCATATGGATTCTGGGCTTCCATTGCGGAGGAAAATAAGCAGAACAAGAAGACACATTCAAATACACACACTTATAAACAAGCCCACACACTCATACAAATACATGCACGCATACTACTCTCTAACATACACTGACAAACACGTATATACACACATACATACGCACGCACACATCACACACACACACATACACACACATGCGCGCGCGAAGAAATAATTTTCCAGCGTAGCGATAGTTCAGAGGTCACTAAAGCCAAACTTGAATGTCTCTCAGATATCTTCAGTAAACGACAAGGTGTTTGATGACTGACCGATGGAAGTTTCTTCATTCCGCAGGCCTCGAGTCCGGCCTGCACTGAGCTAGAGGTTGTCATGATGGACTGGCTGGCTAAAATGTTACACCTTCCCACAGAATTTCTATTCAGCGACGAGGGAAAAGGTGGTGGGGTTATACAGGTAGGTCAACGTTTTCCATTGGGTGTTCCATTTTTCTTTTTTTTTCGTTCGTCCAAGTGACATAATTCCACTATGCCCGATGCGCCTACATGACGTGAAAAGGGACTTTACTTATTTACTTTCTTACAAGTAACGTGATTGCATTGTGCCTGTTTATAGCAAAGCTACGATAGTTGTGCCTTTCAGCCGACACATCCGACTTCGTCGAGCATTTGTTGACTGGGGTAACCTCCCAAATATCAGATTTAGAGAAAAAAAAGGGGGCGGGCGGGTTTCTGATGACGGACAGGCCCCAAAAGTAAATCACTCTCCACACCAAGCTGGCAAAGCTGTTTTGTTTTCTGTTTGGTTGGTAATATTATTTATTGATAATTAAGGTGCAAAATGTTAGGATAGCATTTTATTGCAAGTGCAATTGCACTCAATTTCAAAATTGTTAACCCCGTTCCCTCACCCTCCCCCCCCCCAACCCCTTCCCTTTTAAACCTCTTTAAATAACAATGTATGCCTTAACGACAGTAGAAGGCACATGGATACAATTAATTCGAACAAACATAAACCGTGCTTCTAAACTAGGAATGAAGGAGAGAGAGAGAGAGAGAGAGAGAGAGAGAGAGAGAGAGAGAGAGAGAGAGAGAGAGAGAGAGAGAGAGAATTTGAGAAATAGTGAGACAATGCGAAAGAGAGAAACAGACAAAGAAAGAGAAAGAGACATAATGATAGACTGCAACACAGACAGACAGACGGACAGACAGACGGACAGACAGACAGACAGACAGACAGACGAACGGACTGACAGACACGCTGGCAGGCTGGCAGGCTGACAGACAGACAGACAGACAGGCAGGCAAGCAGGAAAACAGACTGACAGATGTCCATTTTAAAATCTCATTGCAAGAATTATCAATTGATTGTGCACACACAGGGAACTGCCAGTGAAGCCACTCTGGTGGCCCTGCTGTCGGCGAGAACTACAATGTCCACCAAACTCCAGGCCGCCGACAGGAACCTGTCTCATGGCCAGATCCTGGACAAACTCATCGCTTACACATCCGAGGAGGTCGGTGCCAAGTAATTACATATTTATTCTGTCTGATATAATTTTACAACCTGCAACCTTACACACGTCCGGTGGCATTTTTATTGTTGCGTTCACCGGCTGTAAACACTTGCCGAAAGTCCTTGTTGTTCGTATATTCATAAAATTTGGCGTTCTTTTTGGTTTTGGTGTGAACCCATTTTAGAAATCTGATTAGATTGTATGCATTTTGTAGGCTCCTTACCTGTCGGTTTGATGCACTCTGACTTCCAAGGAATCTCCCAGTAGGTCGACTATTACGACATGCTTGTTGGGGAGGCAGTGGGTCTATTCCTGTCTTCTTCACAATGGAGGCCTGGGATCTACACGGGGGTATATTGTGTGAAATGTATGTTACAAGCCACTATATGTAGTCTGAATTTATTTTCTTTCCTCCCTCTCTCTCTTCCTCATCCTCTCCTTGCTGTCTTTTTCTTCTTATTCTTCTTCCTCTGCCCCCTCATATACTGGGTAATACATTAACCCTAACTTCTTCTTTAGCTTCTTCTTCTCCTCCTCCCCTCCTCCTTCTCCTTCTCCTCCTCCTTCTCCTTCTCCTCCTCCCCCTTCTCCTCCTTCTTCTTCTCCTCCTCCTCCTCCTTCTCCTCCTCCTTCTTCTTCTCCTCCTTCTCATTCTTCTTCTTCTTCTTCTTCTTCTTTTTCTTCTTCTTCTTCTCTTCTTCTTCTCTTCTTCTTCTTCTTCTTCTTCTTTTCTTCTTCTTCTCTTCTTCTTCTTTTTCTTCTTCTTCTCTCTTCTTCTTCTTCTTCTTCTTCTTCTTCTTCTTCTTCTTCTTCTTCTTCTCTTCTTCTTCTTCTTCTTTTCTTCTTCTTCTTCTCTTCTTCTTCTTCTTCTTCTTCTTCTTCTTCTTCTTCTTCTCTTCTTCCTTCTTCTTTCTTCTTCTCTTCTTCTTCTTCTTCTTCTTCTTCTTCTTCTTCTTCTTTCTTCTTCTTCTTCTTCTTCTTCTTCTTCTTCTTCTTCTTCTTCTTCTTCTTCTTCTTCTTCTTCTTCTTCTTTTCTTTCTCTTCTTCTTCTTCTTCTTCTTCTTCTTCTTCTTCTTCTTCTTCTTCTTCTTCTTCTTCTTCTTCTTCTTCTTCTTCTTCTTCTTCTTCTTCTTCTTCTTCTTCTTTTCCTCCTCCTACTTTTCTTCATCCTCTTTACCCTCATCTCCCCCTCGTCTTGCTGTTGCCGTTTTTATTGCTGTTATTGTTTTTTTTTTTAAATCTCCCTATAGCAAGCATAAATATCACAATCTAATATCTGTTTACCCACCAGTCCCACAGTTCTGTAGAGAGAGCTGCTCTCATTGGAATGGTCAAAATCAGAAAGCTGCGAACAGACGACAACTGCTCACTCCGCGCTCTACACTAGAGGCGGCCATCAGGGAAGACAAAGAGAAGGGACTGGTGCCATTTTTCGTGAGTCCCAAGATACTTGCTCTTTTCAAGTGTCTCAGTCAGTAAATGAATATATAAATCACATTGGGCAGTTTACTGCATGGTGGAAGCAGTAGCAATCTTACTGAATAATCCTGGTTTGGGTTAGCAAAATGAGCGTGTGGTAAATTTGATATTGCATTGGTTATCACGTGATTATCTCATACTTCCGGGGATAATATGAACAGTGCATTTAGGAAAGACAATGTGATTTGTGTATATAAGTAGGAAGAGATAATGTGTGTGTGCTTAATTATATGTTGATGTAACTTTGTAGTAATGCAGCTCATGAGATACAACGAAATATTTCAGGAAATAAATTGTGCACGTTACTGCTTGTGTCTGCATTATTTACAGGACTGGAGTAATACCTCTAGAGGTTCTAAGCACTTGACAGAATTTAGTATCCCCTTAAATGTGTGATTTAAAATATAAAAAGTAATAAACCACAAAATCGAATTTCATAATTAAACCAAAGTTAAGTAAGTAAAGTAAAGTTCCCTTTTCACGCCTTTCGGCGCATCGGGCAAATGGGCAGAGCGTCCCATATTTTTACAGACCATCAGCACTCTGTAGGGAATGTGGTCAGCATTACGCCGGCTGTCTTTACTTTCCCAGGACAGCCCATCCTGGTACCCATTTTAGCAACACATCTGCTTCTACATTTAACAAACATAACGCATCCAGCCTGCCTTGTTGCGTAGTTATTCTCATAAGCTTTTTTAATATATACTGTTCATTAACGCACAATTAGCCGATAGCACGTTTTTAATTAGTTTAAAAAAAAAATTCTTACTTGGGTATGTAAAAAGCAGACTCAAGTGTTGTTTTATCGTCTCTAGTGGACATGTGGGCGTGAATTGCGTTGGTTTTTGTAATCATTTAAAAGCAGTGTTCAACTGTGTTTAAGACCATATTTGTGAGCATAGCTCACGATGCGCGCACGAGAAAGTAGCACAATTTGGGATGAACACTATTCACTGCCTGGGCAATCGAAACCCTGTAAAATGATAACGGTACATCAAAATATTCAGTTCATTTTCAAGCAGTCACGAATTTTGCCACCATCGGTAAATTTAATAAATATTGCTATTGGCCGATTACAAGCAGGAGATAGTCCAAATCGGGTTGCCAGGCATCTAAACGAGCATCAGAGTACCATCAGTCGACTTTAGCACCGGTTACAAGCCACTGGTTTAGTTGAAGACCGACATTGCAGTGGGCAAAGAAACTAAAAAAAAATGGGGGGGGGGGGGGGGAGGAACTAAATTATTATACACTTATTCAGCAAGAGACAGCGATAGATCTGTGGTTATATGTGCTATTGCTTTCATCGATACACCTCCACGACCCTAGCAGGTCAAGGGTTATGTTTTGTTTGAGCCACCTATGATTTTTTAAATACATAGCATACCAACTTTTACTGTGGTAGCAAGTTGTTACATTGTTAAGGTGTATCCATTTGATTTATTGTTTTGGTAATTATCTCTTCTTGTAACAAAAGTTGCTGTAACGCTGTGTGTGTCGTTGTCATAGTGATAAACAACTAGCTAGCGGTGTTTGTGTCGTTGTTTATAGAGATAAACAACTAGCTAGCGGTGTTTGTGTCGTTATCATAGTGATAAACAACTAGCTAGTGATGTTTGTGTCGTTGTCATAGTGATAAACAACTAGCTAGCGGTGTTTGTGTCGTTGTCATAGTGATAAACAACTAGCTAGCGGTGTTTGTTTCGTTGCCACAGTGATATAAACAACTAGCTAGCGGTATTTGTTTCGTTGCCACAGTGATATAAACAACTAGCTAGCGGTGTTTGTTTCGTTGCCACAGTGATATAAACAACTAGCTAGCGGTATTTGTTTCGTTGCCACAGTGATATAAACAACTAGCTAGCGGTATTTGTTTCGTTGCCACAGTGATATAAACAACTAGCTAGCGGTGTTTGTTTAGTTGTCACAGTGGGCTTACCATCAGTCTGAACAAAACACAAGTGATGGGATTGAATGTTGGAAATCCACCAAACATTAGCGTGTATGACCATCAGCTGCTGGCTGTAAATGAGTTTGAGTACCTAGGCTCACGTATCTCAAGCAATCATTCTCTGGATGCAGAACTAAACAAACGTATAGGAAAGGCCTCTGCTATGTTTGCAAATCTCACAAAGAGAGTCTGGTCAAACAAAAAGCTAACTGATAATACAAAAATGAAGGTTTATGAGTCTTGTGTCCTGAGCACATTACTGTACGGCTGCGAATCCTGGACTCTCTCTATGCTCCACAGGAAAAAAGACTGAATACCTTCCATATGCGCTGTCTGAGACGCATCCTTGGTATATTATGGCGAGACCATGTCTCCAACGAATGTTGTGCTGACAAGAGCAAAAATACCATCAATGTATTGTATACTGAAGCAAAGACGTCTGCGCTGGCTGGGACATGTCTCCCGCATGGAGGATGGTCGTATTCCAAAAGATCTCCTATATGGTGAATTGGTAACTGGGAATAGACCTACAGGAAGGCCAAAGCTGCGCTATAAGAATGTATGCAAACGTGACCTAATAGATACCAACATAGGCACAGAGACATGGGAAAAATCAGCTGCAGATCGACTACTATGGAGACAGATAGTGAAAGATGGACTGTCACATTTTGAAAGAAACCGAACACAACGAGCTGTGGAGAGGAGGCACCGGAGAGTAAAACTGCCTCACAACGAGGGAGTATCTGCTTTTGTGTGTATCCTGTGTGGCAAAGACTGCCACTCCCGCATCGGACTTTACAGTTACAGCAGATGCTGTTCCCAAAGCCAGCGGCACATCTCCATAGTCCCCCGGGACTGACGGATGCCATTATAAACAACTAGCTAGCGGTGTGCCACAGTGATATAAACAACTAGCTAGCGGTGTTTGTTTCGTTGTCACAGTGATAAACAACTAGCTAGCGGTGTTTGTTTCGTTGTCACAGTGATATAAACAACTAGCTAGCGGTGTTTGTTTCGTTGTCACAGTGATATAAACAACTAGCTAGCGGTGTTTGTTTCGTTGTCACAGTGATATAAACAACTAGCTAGCGGTATTTGTTTCGTTGTCACAGTGATAAACAACTAGCTAACGATATTGGTGTCGTCATAGTGATAAACAACTAGCTAACCAAATTTGGTTTTTTTTTCTGCAGCTCTGTGCTACTGTCGGCACAACATCATCATGCGCTTTTGACAATCTTCGTGAACTCGGGCCTGTATGTGAGTATCATATAAACCACGACCTTTAAGTTAGTGGGTCCGTGGGTCAAATCTGGCCCGTGGAGGTCTAGCAAGTGGCACGCGGATCATTGCCAATTGCACCGTAATAATGATTTGTTTCTGCCCTGGGGCTTAGGCTTCTGGCCCGTATCGATCCTAATTTCCAACATTTTGGCCCCGAAGTAATCGTTGTTGTATAACCCTGATGTAAACGATACACTACAGCTTTTAACTGATCAGTATATAGATGATTACTTGCTGACTTACTGTCTCTATTACTTCTTTTTTTTCTTCCTCTTTTTCTTCTTCTTCTTCTTTTGTCACACTGCTTATGTTGTAAAGCGAGGGAGAGAGGAGTTAGGTGTAATTTCCTGTCTTTTGCTAATCGCAAGGCTAATGTTTCTGTTGTGTCTCTTTTACTTCTTTAGTCCATCTCTTTCTTGGACGGCCTCTTGGCTTGTAGCCAGCTGTTTTTATTTAGTATGCTTTAGCCATTGACTGATTTGATTCCATTCTGACCGGATAACCAATCCAATATTTTTTTTTTTTTTTTTTTGGATGTTCAATGAAAAAATTTACCAGTACTGTGCCTACCATTGTTTTTGTTCTTTATTAGAGACTCTTATCTTGTTTTTTTTTCCCCGCCGAATTTCTCATAAATCCAAATCAAATGTTTTATTTTTGCTTTTAGGTTTTTCTAGGACTGTCCACGCATGACCGACTCTAGCTGGCGGGCCGTGCTGCTGACGTCACGGGGTAGGGTTAATGATGCGTTAACGCAGCGGTTCTCAAACTATGTGCCGAGGCAACCGGGGTGCCGTGAGGGTATGCCAGGGGTGCCGCGGCAATAATCAAGAAACGTCGGCTAACAATTGTGACATTATTTAAAAAGGCATGGAAATACTTTAAAGTTAACATTTAAATGGTCTTCCCTCGCCACTGTCGAAAATATATTTTTTCTTGTTCGAGAAAAGCTACGTTAACACATCGTTAGGCCGACCCGGTGACGTCAGCAGCTCGGCCCGTCAACTGGAGCCGGTCGCGGTCCACGTCTGGCATTCTTAGTTGGTACGAATAGCGTATCTGTCAGCTGCTGCTGCTGTGTGTATGTGTGTGTGAGTGTGCGTGCCTGTGTGTATGTGTGTGAGTGTGTGTGTGTGTGCGTGCGTGTATGTGTGGTGCGTGTGTATGTGTATGTGTATGTGTGTGTGTGCGTGTGTGTACATGTGTGTATGTGTGAGTACATGTGTGTATGTGTGTGTGCGTGTGTGTATGTATGTGTGTGTATGTGTGTACGTGTGTGTATGTGTGTGTGTGTGTGCGTGTATGTGCATATGTGTGTGTGTGTATGTGTGCATCTGTATGTATGTGCGTGTGTGTGTAAGAAAGTGTCTGTGTAAGTGTGTGTGTCTGTGTGTGTCTGTATGTGTCTGTATATATGTGCTTGTGTGTGTGAGAGAGAGTGTGTGTGTGTGCGCGCGCGCGCATGCGTGCGTGCGTGTGTGCGTGCGTGTTGATATTTAGATGTTCCTATTTTAATTTCCCAAACTAGTATACCCGAGTTATTTGTTGAAACCATTGTAGTGCAGGCAACAGTTCGATTTCAGCCAGCAACCTTCAAACGTCTATCAATGTAGTGATTTGAAAACAATGTAACTGTGCTTCCAAATCAACAAAGCCTAACATTCAAATGGAAGCCCAAGTTTTTAATCAAAATTCGCCTATGCGAGGAATCGAACGCGTAACCCCCTACCTGCCCAGCAGGGAAAGGAAGAAGTTATTACTAACTAGTTATACCTTCTCTGAGGGCTACCCGACATGGTCACTGACAATAAGCCGCTAAAAAAAAAAAAATTGTACGAAAATGAGATGTCTTAGAAAGGCTTGCAGAAGCGACCAGAAAAGATAAAATCACAAATGAGTTCACGAAAAAAAAAAAAAAAGCCAGAGCACAACCAGTTCTAAATTACAAAAAGAGCAAAGCAAATGTTTGCCCACTTAGAGAATGCCTTGTGACGTCATACTATAAATACCATTCCACAAGAGGAGAAAGACATAGAGCACGAGGTAGACCTAGACACAATGGAAAGATAGCATCAGAGAAACTCTATAACGGCATGATGTGTCTGTGGTAGAGGAGGCCAGAGGTGCAAAAAGCAGAACCAAACCTCTCCCTCAACACCCGAAGCAGTAAAAGTGGAAATTAAGGGAAAGAATATTAAGAAGAATAAGAAGAAAAATGTACACCTTCTTTAGTAAAGTTAAACGCCCTTCCCAAGCATTTGGCGCATTGGGGATACAGTGCTAGATCTGTATTTTATAGACCTGTCGGCACTATAAAAAGTGAATTGGATAGAATAACGCTGACTGCCTTTACTTTCCAGGACCTTACCTGGTAACTGGCTAAGGTTGATTCGACCTGGGAGTGAATGTCAACTAAAACACACACAAATACCTCGGTGTGGGTTTGAACACCAGATCTTTGGCCTGCGGGCGAAGTCTTGCCGCTTCGCGACTCCCTTTTTTGGCCGTTAACCAATTTGACTTGGCAACATTCCATCGAGGTTCCACACCGCTGGGTAGGTAATAACGTTTTTCTGACAGGGGCCAAAATTAAACATCCTACCCTGCACAGTCCGTGGCGACGGCACTAGCCATGCGGCCCTAAACCCTCTGGCTCACGAAAACCCCCTGTCTACGCTGCCCTAAAACTAGTAAATACATACAGTAATGACAGTGACAGTACATTGCATCATCTGTCTGTTTTTCAGGTACAAGGTACGATGTCTGGATGCATGTTGATGCCGCCTATGCAGGCAGTGCCTGTGTCTGCCCTGAGTTCAGATACCTGATCGACGGTCTAGAGGTTCGATTACCAGTTGACTGTTTAAACAATTAGTTACCAGTCACTGAAACATTGTGTATGAGATTTTTCAGTGTGTGATTCCCTGGTCCCATTATGTGTGTATGTGTGTGTGTGTGAGTGTGGGGGGAGGGTGTGGGGGAGAACCCCAAATAGACCCACTGCCTCCCTAACAAGCTTGTCGTAAGAGTTGACTAAATAAGGGTTTCCTTCGAAGTCGGAGTGCATCTGTATAAGTAAGCAAGGAACCAAAAGTCTAAATACAAATAAGCCAGATTTCTTAAACAGATGCATACGCAAAATGCAAGTTCTAGAACAAGACTAAAGTCTAGAAGTCAAGAAACAACTATTCTTGAAGATGAAAATCAGAAAAAGAAGAAGAAGAAGAAGAAGAAAAGAAGAAGAAGAAGAAGAAGAAGAAGAAGAAGAAGAAGAAGAAGAAGAGAAGAAGAAGAAGAAGAAGAAGAAGAAGATTTAGAAGAAGAAGAAGAAGAAGAAGAAGAAGAAGAAGAAGAAGAAGAAGAAGAAGAAGAAGAAGAAGAAGAAGAAGAAGAAGAAGAAGAAGAAGAAGAAGAAGAAGAAGAAGAAGAAGAAGAAGAAGAAGACGACGAACGACAAAGGAAGAGGAGGAGGAGGAGGTGGAGGAGAAGAAGAAAAAAAGAAGAATAAAAGAAGAAAAGAAGAAGAAGAAGAATAAGAAGAAGAAGAAGAAGAAGAAGAAGAAGAAGAAGAAGAAGAAGGAGAAGAAGAAGAAGAAGAAGAAGAAGAAGAAGAAGAAGAAGAAGAAGAAGAAGAAGAAGAAGAAGACGACAAAGGAAGAGGAGGAGGAGGAGGTGGAGGAGAAGAAGAAGAAGAAGAAGAAGAAGAAGAAGAAGAAGAAGAAGAAGAAGAAGAAGAAGAAGAAGAAGAAGAAGAAGAAGAAGAAGAAGGAAGAGGAGAAGGAAGAGTAGGAGAAGAAGAAGAAATAAATAGAAGAAAAAAGTCTTATTTACGTGGCTAGTGAGTTGTTTCTGATATAAGAATGGCTACAAGAATATTAGATTGTTCTGCTATTACTGACATTGTTGAGACAATATTTTCACACAGATAGGAAGTCAGAATTGTTTATTAGGCAGAGCCGGCTGTGCTTTAGTTACAGAGGGCTGGCCCATGGATCATGCCAACATTGTTAACGCTATTAGAGAGGGTGTATGTTCCGAGGATTTTGGTAGCAGCACACCCACATCTATGATAACAGTGCAAGAATTGGGAGTAAAGATCGGCACAGCAAGGCACGAGAAGCACACCGGAGGCACGAGAAGTCTTGTCAACCAACATAGGACTGGAACTATGAACCACGGGACGCTGACGTATATGTTGAAGGGGGAATCTGAGCACCTATCGACATGTCCGGAGAGCCGTGAAGATAACCCAAATCATAACTAATAACTTAGACATAGTTGGCAGACTGACTGAATTTCTACCCCACCAGAACATCACACAAGCGATAAACACCCGATGACACAATGTGCCACCATGTGAATGAGGATCACCAGTGGAGAGGTTCCAGAAGCCGCGTTCAGCCATTACGCATATTTATGGCCTGGTTATATTGCGGCCCCCGGCAAGAGCCAGGGTGGAGCTTCAAATAACGAAAAATTTCATCCATAAAAAGGACGGTGAATGCGGGTACTGGCCGACCTGCGGGACACTTTTTTTTATTAATCACAATTATCTTAAAGAATATAAATGTAAAAATTAGACAAATGAATATGAAAGAAAATAATTTACAAGTGTTTAGCTGGCGCAGTAAAGTGTAACAATCATATAAAATTGTGAAAATTATAGCGGTTGAAAAACTATAAATTATGCCATGTTGTAATAGAGCAGAAACAGAGAAATATATACTTTTTTTTTTTGTTGTTCAAATTATTATCTACCTTTAACCCCCATCCTACCCTCTTTTTTTTTTTTTTTTTTTTTTGACGATTCTAAAAAAGATTTTTTTTTTTTTTTTTTCAAATATGACTTACAAAAATTATGGGATTTGTGGCAGACTTTTACAATTAAAAGTGGTACAAGTGTCTTATCCAATTTGAAAGCACTCTGATATACTTTTTTTTTTCTTTATATCCCAGCACTCCATGTCTTTCAACTTCAACCCACATAAGTGGCTGATGGTGAATTTTGATTGCTCAGCAATGTGGTGAGTAGGCTTTGTTGTATCACAGCACCACAGTAAAAGATGCATCACCAGATGGTTACTGCAGAAACTACTTCGTTGCTTTGGTTTGCAGAACCAACCTCAGCATTTTTTTTTTCCTAGGCAAATTTACGTCCAGTAGTTTGGTTGCTTTGGGTAGAATAGTTTAATACATTCGTTATTTTGAACATAGTTTGGCCATGTTAAACGCCATGGAGGAGGGAAGCGGAGGTGGGGGGGGAGGGTATACTTTCTGAAAACGAGGTTGAGACCGACCTCCGAGAATGTGGATAGACCACATTGAAGATGCATTGACTATGAAAGCACATAGGGCTGGAGAGTTGGCTAGAGAAAGAGAGACTTTAATAGATACTGTGACAAGAGCGACGTTCTGCAAACGACATGTATATTTATTAGTTATAGTGAAACATGATTTCGTTGCTAAGTAACTTGCTGTCCAGTATGAATGACTACGATGACAACACTGTTACAATTTAAGCTTGTTGGGTGCTCATCCTAAAAGTGGGACAATGAGTCACTGGGTTTTAATCGTTCAGACCCATAACTGGGTGGAAGTGAAAGAAAAAAGTGTGTGTGTGTGCGGCGGGGGGGGGGGGGGGGGGGGGGGGGGGGGAGGTCCCTGATCCCCATTTTACAGTTCTCGCTATTCATGTTACCTGCAGTTCTTAACTCCAAATCATAGGCCCCAGGAAGGAGAAGCCCAGGCATCCTGAGGCCACCCACCCCCCCCCCCCTCCGCCCGTTTTCAGTAATTCTTAGGGACTAGAGAATCTCCAGCCCCCCCCCCCTCCCACCACCCACCATCATGTAGAGCCGTCCTCTTTTTAAGCATTTGTTCATTCATTTCATAATATTAAAAAAATATCCTCATATTTTTTTTTTGCGATTCAGCACACAATAAATAACAACAACTGTAATAAAATAACACTTACTATTATTGCTGATAATATTATTATTAAACAGTCAGGAAGGTTCTACATTAGATCTGGAGTGAGACAGAGCTGCGCTTTATCACCACTGCTGTCATCACATACGTCGACCAAATTTGCAATTTAGCTTACATCAACCAAGGGGGACAACATCAGAGAATTACTAAATGAAATGCTTTTCGCCGACGACCAGGCAATTATAGCATTAACAGCAGTACAACTTCTTCTTCTTCTGCCTTTCTATCCCCAATGGAGCATAGGAGCATAGTCGTTCTTCTTTTCGCCTGCAAGCTCTCGCCATGGTCCTCACAAGCCAACCTCGTTCTCTCCGTCTTCTCCATGTGTTTTTTGGCCTCTTTCCTATGCGCCTGTGAGTTCCAATGCAAAGACATAGGATGCTGTTCTCCTGTTTTCTCATGTACAGCTACAAGAACATATTAAAAGACTCCATCATGAATGCAACAAATATTTCTGAAATCCTCGTAAATCTTTCTCCAGAAGAAAAAAGAGAGCATTCAGAAGACAGAAAGAAAAATAGTCATAACAAAATTTAAATGTGTACGTACTATGCCAGGTGTAACGATAAATGGTCGTCTTAGCAACGATGATATCAGGATAACAGTCGGCACATAACCGAAATTGAACTTTATAGGAAGACAACAAATGAAATGGTTTGGTCATCTAACAAGACTGGCATCAAACAGGGCCCCACAGACAGCAATGTTATACAGATACAGCGGTATCAGAGACACTGAAAAGTAATTTATACGAAGAGCAAAGAAGAACCCGTTTCAAAGATCTTTTCCTGCCCTGACGCCGCGAGGCATTCCAATAGAAGAAGAAGAAGAAGAAGAGAAGAAGAAGAAGAAGAAGAAGAAGAAGAAGAAGAAGAAGTAGAATATTATTATTATTATTAAACGAGCCTTAGCTCCTTGAGCGCCCCCCCCCCCACCCACCCTCTAGAAAACTGTAGAAAATCATTTGACGTTAAGAGCGCCTCAGCACCCCCACTCACCCCACCCCTAATGTTTTTGCCATGACGCCTGCCCAAATTAAATGTAATTGCTTCTTTTGTTTTCAATAATTACAAATACCAGTAGGTGTCTTTCTTGAAGTGGTACGTTATTGTTCCAAATCTCTAATGATGATCCGCAGGGTCAAAGACAGAGATCTGGTCAGCGGAGCGTTTGAACTTGACCCACTTTATCTCAAGCACGACAATCAAGGTCAAGCGATGCCGGACTATAGGGTAGATACACTTGTTTCTGTCTGTACAATCTGACAAGTTGAAGTGTGTGGCTTAGGCGTTTTAACTCCAAGGTGCCAGGTTCGATCTCAGATGTAGGCAATTTGGCAGCAGACCGTCTTGCGTTGGTTTCGACAGTGGTTTCAATCGTTAAGAAAACAATGGCAAACTCATCATCATCAATCGGCAAATCCTTCACAGAACGTCGCTCTGGTCACAGCGCGCCTGAAAGTCTCTCTTTCACTAGCCAGTTCCCCAACCCTGTGTGCTTTCATAGCCACTGTATCTTCAATGGCCTGTATCCTCTTTCGCCGAGGTCAGCCTCATCTTTCAGGAAACCGCACTCTCCCTTCCCGTGCTCTTCGGACCACCATGACATGTAACGTGGCCAGAATACCGCAGCTTTCGAGGCAGGCTGCTGTTTATGAGCCAATTCTCCTGCATGTTCATAGCCTGTAAGAGTAAGATGTCGGTAATGTCAAACTAGAAAACGTAACTTGCCCCGTGACGTCACAAACTGCCAACAATGGTACGATTAGTTCTGTTATGTCCTGTAAAGGATAGGAAATTACCTTTAACAATTTGACAGGGAGCCGGGTTGGCGTTGCGGATAGACGCTCACTAGCCGGTGCCAAGGTCTGGAGGTTCAGATCCTGCACCGAGGGGGATATTTCTCAGAAATCTTGGCTCCTATGTAGGAAACTGGTGACAGGTAATGTCATGGGAAGAAAAGACAGCAGGGCTTGTGCTGACCTCATCACCCACCGAGTGCTGAAATATGAGTCTTGCCCTATATGCCCAATACTCTTGAAGGCGTGGTTAAAAGGTCTTTTACTTTACTTACTGTTACAGTGGTGGTAATTGTTACAGTGGTGGTAATTGTTACAGTGGAAGTAATTGTTACAGTGGTGGTAATTGTTACAGTGGTGGTAATTGTTACAGTGATGGTAATTGTTACAGTGGTGGTAATTGTTACAGTGGTGGTAATTGTTACAGTGATGGTAATTGTTACAGTGGTGGTAATTGTTACAGTGGTGGTAATTGTTACAGTGGTGGTAATTGTTACAGTGGTGGTAATTGTTACAGTGGTGGTAATTGTTACAGTGGTGGTAATTGTTACAGTGATGGTAATTGTTACAGTGATGGTAATTGTTACAGTGATGGTAATTGGTGGAAAGGGGGGGGGGGGGGTTAATTTCCGAATGCTTGGTTCTATCCAGCTGCTGGCGATTTCGCAGCAGATCGTTTTGCGTTGTTGTCTTCGCCGGTGGCATCGAGAGGCGACCTTTTAGAGAACAATGGCAAACTACTGAACGTAATATGTCTAGTGAAACCACAGACAGTCAATAACGCTGTGAGTTGGTTCTGCGACGTCCTGTAAAGGATAGACATAAACTGATGTATGCTGTTGGAGGTCGCCATAGCTTGCGAAGCAGGATCTCTTAAGTCTGACGATAAGACACTTAATGATAGTGAGGATGATAATCTTGTTATTGTTAATGATGATGATAATGATGTTGATTACAACTTGATTAAGTTCTTTTTTTTTCACCCCTTGACGTCCCCGTACTGTTTCATTTTTTTTCCTCCATTTACGGGTAATGCACATAAAGATTAAATAAAAGCCTTGATTTATTTAATGCATATTAGCTTTGTTTCTGTTTGACAGCATTGGCAGATCCCCCTTGGACGTCGCTTCAGATCTCTCAAGCTCTGGTTTGTTCTAAGGATGTTCGGCACAGAAGGGCTACAGCAGCAAATCAGAAAGGTAGAAAAGCTGAAAGGAATGTGCCGAGTGCTGCGATGCCGGGTCATAACCCAGGCCAGTCATAAATTTATCGGTTGGATCTCCTTGTGTAATCAAGTAATCGACTCTTGCCTACCTTATGAGGTGAATTAACAGTAACAAGCAAAGTAATCGACTCCTTCGAATTGAGTTAAGAATTGACATCACAGCCCTCGGGGCATTCCCACGCATGCTCCGTCCTCATCTTCAGCAGCTAGCGCTGAGTTCCAATAATGATGGTACCGGTCACAATCTGGTTAAATGTCCGTCTTGCCTTTCCTCTGAGTGTAGTCAGCCGGCCAGACCCTCTAGTTACACCCAGGTACCTCGTTCTCTCTAGGCCATGATAGTAATACTTGCTACTGTTAATACATCTTATGAGGTGTGTTAACAGTAACAAGTAAAGTAATTGACTCCTGTCTACCTTGTGAGGTGTATTAACAGTAACAAGTAAAGTAATTGACTCCTGTCTACCTTATGAGGTGTATTAACAGTAACAAGTAAAGTAATTGACTCCTGTCTACCTTGTGAGGTGTATTAACAGTAATAAGTAAAGTAATTATTGACATCCAGAACCGTCTTCTTCTTGGCTTCTTCTTCATCTGTCTGAGCCCTTAAGGTTAATTGCTGCAGACCCCCCCCCCCCCCACCCCCTAACCCCGCTATCCAGTCATCTCTCTGATTGGCCTTGTCTTTCCAGTGTTGGCCCCTTGTGTGACTGTATCTTATCTCTCCAGTTTTTTCTCGGTCTGCCTTGTGGTCTAGGGCCATTCAAAGATTTTTAGGTCAGCAGTTTTTGTCACTCCGTTATCGGTGATTCTCTCTGTTTGACCCAATCATTGCAGTCGGTTTTTACCCTCACAATGCTGGTAATTTTAGGTGATTTAGATCTAATAAGAATATCATTGCTGCTTTCGCTTCTATGGCCTAGACGTTGTGAATTGCGCTTTGTAGTTCCGTAGCACCAGGTTCAATCCCAGTTGGGAACAGTTTGGCAGCTTTGGTTTCTAAATTAATACCGAGAGCCGACCGTTGAAAGCAACGGCAAACTAATGAATGTTAAATTGCACAGTGAAGCCACAAACAGCCGAACGATGCTAGGGTTGATACTGAAAACGGCCTCTAGACTGTAGATGAAAAAAACTGATTTTCTTTGACGAGCACGTTTCAGGCTATCCGACCTCTACGCCAGTGTCTATAATGAAATCTTTGGTTAGTTTTAGGTTCCCCCTTGTGTTAAGCCGGCCTGCAAAGGAAGCTAAACTCACCCATCCACATTTCACTACAGGCTGCTTCTTAACCGTTTCGTGGTGCCCCAGTATATCTGTGCTATGTGGCAAACAGCTGGTAATGGAGAGTGAGAAGCGACAACGAAATTTATAATCAGTTTCACTCCACGTCGATCACTGGCATCATGACGGTTATTAGACTAAAATCATCATCATCCCGTAATACTGCCAGTTTCTGTTGACTGTCTGATCAGCTCTCTCCACCTTTGGCGGTCAGTTGCAATGGTTGAATGCCTGAGGCCTGTCCTGTCAGTCAGGTTCTGTAACCAGGTCTATCTTGGTCTGCCTCTTCTCCTCTTTCCCTCTACTGGGCCCTGCAGTATTGTTTTTGAGAGGCCGTTAGATCTTATAACATGCCCATACCATTGTATTTTTCGCCTTTTCACTGTAGTTAGAAGAGGTTCAAAGTTGCCAATGTGCTGTCTAATTATATGGCGAACCTCTTCGTTTTGTAATGTGGTCTCTATATGATATGCCAAGAATTTTTCTGAAACATCGCATTTCTAAAGCTTGTATCTTTCTTTCAAGTTCAGCTGTTAAGGTCCACGTTCCACAGCTATGTGTAAAAGTACTAATAGCTAGTGTTCTGAGCAATCAAATTTTAGTTTTGCATGAAATGTTTTTGGGATCTCCAAAATGTTTGCTGTTCGGCAAGGACTGATGTTGTTTGAGTAATCCTAGACATGATTTCTGGTCTTGACCCCAGGTCACTCAAAATGTACCCTAAATTTTTGAAATGATTGACTTGATCTCATTTGTGACCCTTAACGTACAATTGTGAACTTATGCCAGCTGGGTTATTTGTCATTACTTTTGCTTTTTTTTTTCTCCATTCTATACTTGGTTGATGTTTTATTGAGCAGGTTTACCAGTTCGACTAGCTCTTGTTCTTCCCCGGCCAACCCATCGATGTCATCTGCAAACCTTATGTTTTTTTTTATAGTTCGACCTCCTATACTCACTGTTCCATGACGTTATTCTAGGGCATCTGCCACAATTCTTTCTAAAATGATGTTAATCAGTGTTGAAGAGAGGAGGCGGCCCTTTGGGACTCCTACTGTTGTTCGGAACCAGCTTCCTATTTGTCCGTTCATCTGATAGCACTGCTGGCCTTGCCATAGAGATGTTCTATACTACGTATGTGGGTTTTACCCATATTGTACTTTTTCACAGTGTCCCAGAGTGCTGCCTGCCATACTCTATCTAAGGCCTTTTTGAAATCAAGGAACACGTGGTATAGATGTTTATGGTGCTGCTGGTGTTGCTGAGATAAAATGCACAGATTAAATATCTGTTTAACTGTGCTTCTTCCAGCACGGAAACCCGCCTATTCCTCTGCTGCAATCTTTTCTGTATGCGGCTTTAACCTGCTTAGAAGCATCTAGAGTATAACTTTGCTGGAATGACTGATGAGACATATTCCTATAATTTTGACAATTTTGTAAATTCTTCTTTTGTGGAATGGTAATGAGTGATTGGCTGCAAAGAGATGGCCATTCCCGATAGACTGAAATGACTTAGGAATATTGAGAAGATTGTCAGATGATAGAAATGTACACAAGGGAGATAAATGATGGACAGACCACGAGACAAACCAAGAAAACGACGGAGAGCTAATATCCAGACAGACCTACAATCACTTGGTACCACCAACTGGGAAGAGAATGCCAGCCGTATAGATGAATAGAGAATGTATTGCATAATACGCAATCTTTGGCTTTCCTCATTTGAAAATGCAATAAAAAACAGCATGACAATAATTATATTATTTTCAGGATGTATCCTTGGCCAAACAGTTTGAATCGTTGGTGAGAAGTGATCCGAGATTTGAAATTTTTGGAGCAGTAACTCTGGGTCTCGTATGTTTTAGACTGAAGGTAACTATTTTAATCTGTATTTAAAAAATGCAAAGTTAACAAACAGTAACTTAATACAGTTTGCACTTAAGTTACCAAAAGTTAACAAGACATTACTTATCAGAAACTATGATTAGGAGCTTAATAGGAGGGAAAGGAAATTTGTTTGGCTGCGTACCAATAAAAAAACCACACAAACAGCTCCAATATTTGTTGCTGTTTATGGTTTTACTAGGCGATTTTTTACGTTCAGTAGTTTGCTGTTACTCTCTAAACGGTCGGTTCTTCATACCACTGCTGAAATCAATGCAAACCGGTCTGCTATCATATCCAAAATTATGACGTGCTCATAACCTAGGGATTACATACAATCACATGCACAGAAAAAGGAAAGTACGTGCACAAATACAATCATACTTTTCTACCAACATGCCAGCTTGTTTATGAATATTTTCCGAGAGCATTGTATGCCTGGTTCGTTAGTGGTGGAAAAAGGGTCATTAATTTATATGAAAGTAGTTGACTTACAGAGACCTTATATACAACAAACTTCTTCTTTTTTCGTTCGCTTGAAATATCTATCTGCAATATTGTCGCTACTATGAACTTCACTGTTGCAATTCACTCAGCGACGTGTAAAGTTGGGCTTGCACCGGTGTTTCTCTTGGCCAAAAGTTATGCCTTGATGTGTTGTGTTTGGGACAGTCTTGGAGGATGTGATCTGTTGTCTCAGGTGCCAGTCCCCATCTACACACGACTGATTTGCCAATCTTTAATGTGTGTGTCCATTTGGCTGCGAAGTCGATTGTTTCCTTTTCTAAGAAGCAAAATAATAACTTGCTCTGGTCTGACCATAAAATGGTATCGGCTTGTGCCGGTTTTGGTGGCTTTTTGATTGATTTGATTACTCTATTCTTCTGCTGATAAGAGACTGGTACTTCAGGTTGCTCTTCAGTTGCACCTCCCTTCGCTAGTTCATCATTTGTTTCATTTCTGGAAACTCCACAGTGAAATAGTATAGGTAGTTACCTGTCACTGGTTCCGGTTTCCTAGTCAGGAGAGTAATGTTCGTATACCAGGTAATTTTCCAGACAGTGCCTGAAGTACAGCTCTTGCATCTGTCAGAAAAACACGGGTTTGAAATTTGACATATATTTAGCAGTTTCTCTATAATAAACAGACATGCATTGATTTGCACTCATAGAAAGAACTAGGTTACCCCAGAAATATTCCGTTCTTGTGCCAGGGGAAACCACGCAAACATGCCTTTCTTTCACACAAGAAGACCAGTGAAAACAAATCAGTGTTGGCAAACTCTGGAAGTCTGCATAAGCAAAGCAAATGTATAAGGCAGCCAACACTAAAAGTCCCTCACTTGAATTGCCGATGGAAGCAATGAAGAGATATAAAATCCATTGTCTGATCCAGAACTGTCAGTTGAAGATGAAAGAGATATGTCAAGCGACACACACAAAATAATTATCGAGTGAATTAGTGTTTCGTAAATGTTTATACATGAGCACACTAACAAAGAACTTAACGTTTTCCTACTGCCAGGGCCCTAACTCCACAAATGAAGCTCTTAATAAGAGGATCAATGACGACCGCAGAATACACTTGGTACCCTCCAAGGTTAAGGGCACTTACTTCCTGCGTTTTGCTGTTTGTGCAAGTAGCACCCAGTCTTCAGATGTGACTTTTGCCTGGTCGGTCATACAAGACATTACAGGCAGTGTCTTAAAGGAGATACGTTTACAGTGACTGTCTGTCTTAGGTAATGTTAGACATAGATGTTTGTGTTTCTCAGTCTTCTTTTCTTCTGTCTTTCTTTTTCTTTCGTTCTTCTTTCTTTCTTCTTCTTCTTTCTTCTTTTTCTTTCTTTCTTTTCTTCTTCTGCTTCATCATTGTCTTCTTCTTTCTTTCTTTCTTTCTTGTCTCTCCCCCCCCCACCCCCCCACCCAATCCGTCCCTCCTTCTATGTTTTCTGTGTTACGTCAGTCAGTTTCACCGCACACTGTGCATTCCCATGCATGCTACGTCCTCTCATGCAGCAGCCACTCCAAAGTACCTCTACTGATCCCATGAGAAGTTGGAAGGGAACCAAGAGCTCAAACTTCCCAAGCTCCATGTATGGTTTGAGCAAATGTATGGTTCTTGTCTCCTCCGTCTGAGCATCTTGCACAAAGATGAAGAAGTACATAAATCCTGGCTATTTCCCCCAGAGGTACTGAACAGTACATAATACCGACGAGTTTGTTTAAAAGCACTATTTTTGTCACCTCTACTGTAACAGAAACCTGGCACCTATTTTAGACACGAAGATAAATGTGACAGACCTGTTTATTCATTTGTCTGTTTGTTTTGTCGATTACTTCCATTGTCCCTTTACCTATACACTTTATTATGAGTACCCGCACCTTTTTTTAAGGAAAACATTGCTATTATGTAATATAAATTGCTTTGAGACTTGGATTTAAGTTAGGAAGAGCTAAACAGTGCCTTAACATACATGGCATAACTCCATGCTTGGCACGATTTCTGTGTTGTTGAACCGAATCAAAGTTGCGTAGTAACCTAAGGATCCAATCCAAGTCCACCATGTTATATTACATCAAACATTTGAAACAAAGTAATTTGATCTTAAAAAAAAAATTTACATTATAAGCTTCTTCCAGACTGTTGAATAAACTTATACACCGTATTTCTATTTGCTGATCGAGCAAACTCATAGATGTTCCGTTTCCCGCAGCAAAAGTCTTTTAAGGTAGTCCAGTAGCACCCACTACATATTCTTCTTTCCACTTGTGGTTTTCAGAATATTCTCCCCGTCCAGTGTGGGTGTTTCTGTAGCTGTCGATTTTGCAGATAAACTAAAACAAACACAAATAAATAAGCTCGTTATTTCAGTTTACTCATTGCCTCTTTAAAAATCATCTTACTTGCCGCTTTTGGCACAAGTGCCGTAGATTACAGATGCCCGAACTAAGATAAATGTGACGTATCTGTTTATTAACTTGTCTGTTTGCTTTGTACATTTATTACTTTTTAATTTCTTTTCAGGTTTTCATGGATCATTTCGATGGAGAGAGAGAGAGAGAAAGAGAGAGAGAGAGATTAGAGAGAGATGGGCAGCGGGGAGTGACCAGGTCTGGCCGTCACTGAACATTATGAGGTTAGCCAAGAAGAAACACATAATCAGACTGCTACAGGTGGCATCGGAAATAAAACTCTTTGCTGGCTACTGAAGATGGTGAAATACAAGTATGGGAATTAGCTGTGATCAACGCCTTCTCTAATAATGCCTAACAACTAAATCACGTCACGATTTGAAAGGAGTCCCTCGGAAACTGGTTACTGGAAGCCCTTTCCATGTGTTGCCTCATGTGACATTTTAATGTGCTTACAAAGTTCTGTGTTCTGAATGTATTTGTATTACAAATCGACAAGCGGATATTGTGAAGTGGATATATACGATATTGCTTTCATATTGACTGTGCATAAATAGGGCAACTACACTGTGGATAAATAGTGTCAAGATATTTCGGAGCTGTGGGTAAGTGGATAAAAATAATATTTAATTTACTAACTTACCTCTCACAGCAAGTCACGCTTTGGCTCTTTACTAATTGGTGACTAACAGTATAATTATATGTTGTAGAAGTACACTAATAATATTAATCCTCAACCGTTTGTGTTCATTTTTGTGAATTGGCTTCTGCTACACGAACATTGGTTGTAAACTCCAGCAGAAACTTCTGGTTGTTCATCTACTTCTTATGCACATTTGCAGTTGTATGGTCTGTGTTCATTTCTGTGAATTGTCTTCTGCTTCGCGAACACTGTCTGTAAACTCTGGCAGAAACTTCTGGTTGTTCATGTTCTTCTTATGCAGATTTGCAGTTGTATGGTCTGGGTTCATTTTTGTGAATTGTCTTCTGCTTCGCGAACACTGTCTGTAAACTCTGGCAGAAACTTCTGGTTGTTCATGTTCTTCTTATGCAGATTTGCAGTTGTATGGTCTGGGTTCATTTTTGTGAATTGTCTTCTGCTTCATGAACAATGGCTGTAAACTCTGGCAGAAACTTCTGGTTGTTCATCTACTTCTGGGCTTTAGTCTTGTTGCAGACTCCATTTTGAACAACGAGATCCGGTATCTAAATGGGGAGTTTTTGTGTTTCATATGTGTATGTTGCACAGCATGTGCAGTTATATGTTTTTTTTAAATTTGCTGCTTCAATTACCTTTAAAATAATATACCATTCATGATACTTGTGTTGTTGCATGCAGTATTCAGAAATATGTGTGATGTATTTTTGAAGTTACCAAAATAATTCACAATGATAAAGAATTGATTTCATCCAGCAAGATGAAACTGGACAAATTTGTTCGTGCTGTTTGTACCTTGAGAAGAAATATTTAGTAGTGCTATAAGTACTGTTAAGAAAACTGCTCTGGGTTAAAAATTATTGCACATATCAATTTCATATTGACTGTGCTTGTTTACTAATTATTAAATAACAGTATAATTATATATTCTAGAAGTCTACTAATAGTAATAATAACCATCAATCATTCATATTCATGTTATGTATGACATGTGTATGTTTCACATCAGTATTTTTATGTGCTAAATTTAATAAAGTACCAACCCCCCCCCCCCCCCCCCCCCCCCCCCCCCCCCCCCCCCCCCCCCCCCCCCCCCCCCCCCCCCCCCCCCCCCCCCCCCCCCCCCCCCCCCCCCCCCCCCCCCCCCCCCCCCCCCCCCCCCCCCCCCCCCCCCCCCCCCCCCCCCCCCCCCCCCCCCCCCCCCCCCCCACCCCCCCCCCCCCCCCCCCCCCCCCCAATCCCCTGCGTCTTCTCTGATGCAACAATACCTTCTCAGAATCAAAGAGTTTGCACTAATAAGAATATTTCTTTACTTTTGCAGGGATAACTTTCAGTTTATATCTGTACGTTATTGATGTTTATGTTCATGTTGACTGTAGCAAAAGCATTTTTGTTTGTCTGTAATAGCCTTTATTGTTATATTTTAATAGCACACTTATTTACCATAAAAATGACATATAGTTCTATAAAATATGTCGCAATTTAATGAAACTGTAGTTTAATTTGTATATACATCTCCTCGATAAAAACTGTTAACACAGAGGGACTCCATTCTTGCACAAGAACGGGAATCCCTGTTGACCTGTTTGGCCTATAAATAGAGAAGGCCGTGCTGTACATTATGAGGAAAGCCAAAAAGAAATACATACTTAGACTGCTTCAGGTGGCATCAGAAATGTAACTTTTCGCTGGCTGCTGAAGATGATGACATGCGAGTATGGAAATTAGCTGTGATGTTGATTCTCAACTCCAATCATTCATGCGTGTGTCCAGGTTCATTGACACCAAGTCATCAGCTGAGTGTAACACCATTATTTGTTGTCTTTAACAGTTCAGTGAAAGTAATACCTTTTATGTCGCTTTGATAGCCATAAAAAATACATACATTTCTTGGTCACATTTTCGTTATTTTTGATTTCTCTTCTGCTTCTTCTCCTCCTCCTCCTGCCTCTTCTTCTTTTTCTTCTCCTCCTCTTTCTTCTCATCTTCTTCTCCTACTCTTCATCATCATCTTCTTCTTCTTAGCTTTTACCGCCTGCAAGCTGTAGGGAAAAGTACAAGTTGCTCACCGCTGCGTGGTTTCTGGGAAAAATAGGCCCACTGTCTTCCCATCAAGCATGTGGTAAGAGTTGACTAACTAGGGGCTTCATTCAAAGTCAGACTTCATCTGCATGAGAGACAAGGAACCAGCAGTCTGCATACAAATAAGCCAGATCTGTAAAACGGATATGCACTCAACACTGAAGTTCTGCAGAAAAACTAAAGTCCAGAAGAATCTTTCACCAGAGTTTACAGCCAATTGACGTGAACAATAAATAAAGAAGAGTTCTAGCTGTAGACTTCAGGACTTTTGTTTTCTTGGGTTTTGCATGCACATTTTTTTTTTAAATATCTGGTTTGTTGTGTGCAGACTGTTGGCTCCTTGACCTTTCAGGCAGATGATTTGACAGGGAAGAAAAAGGAAGAAAAAATAATAATAAGAAGAAAAATAGGAGGAAGCAGAAAAATAAGAAGATGAAGGGAAGGAGATGAAGAGGATGAAGAAGAAAAAGAAGAAGACAAAGAAGGAGAAGAAAGCTACAGCTATGAGAAAAGAATATAATTAACACTAACACAGAAAAATCATTTAGACAAAAGAGATCACACATACACATGTGAATCATTTTCCATATTTTATTTACACATACAGAGAGCACTGACTGTGCCTTTCACAAAAAGGAAATATTCAGGTTCATACTTTTTTTTTTCTTGTAGTAATATTTATATAAAAATTATGTTCCTATTTGACCACATTTTTGTTGTTTTTGTTTTGTAAAACATGGAACACACACATGCTGATGACTGCTCTGAACTGTGTACCCACCTCTACATGAGCAGTTCAGTTGCAACAAACAATATGTTATTTACAAAGCTGGCAAACATTACATATCACTGATGAGAGAGTAAATTATGTTAACACATATCTGACACCAGTTTAGCTATTATCAAATTACAGTATATTCGCATAAATCATTGTTAATATATTTGAAAACTAATTTTTCTAGGTTTGGCTAAAAATAATTTGAAAAAAAAAAAACAACAACCTCATAGTGCATCCTTCACAGGACAGTGCCAAACTGACCCCAGTATTTTTTTTAAAACGCTGTTTGATTGTA